TAAAAAAAAATGTTGAATCAGCTGTCTTTGTGTATAAATTTAAAGTTGTTTAATTTATTTTTTGTAGATAAACATTATTATTACTGTTTTACATGTTTCAATTTCTTATATTAAACATTATTGTTAAGTGCAGACAGGATAATACGGTGATATTATCTTGTATTTTTGTTTTGAGTTTGCGTAGATTGTCGTCTTTATCTTGATTGAGTTCTCTTTAGCTTTTTAAAATATGTAAATATAAACGTAAAAGTCTTTAAAATTTTGATTTGTGAATGTAATTAAAAGTTAATATAAGCTGAAAATAAATAAAATATAAAATTTACCTTAACATTTTTTTTTTTTTTTTTTGATACATTAAAATACAGAGTAAAAATAATAAGTAATGAGTAAATTCAACTGAAATAGGAAAATTTTAATAAAAAAATTTTCACAGAAAAAAGATTTAAATTATTTTTTGTTTAGCTTGTTTTTTTCAAAAACCAAATAAACCTTTTTTTTTTTCAGTTTTTTAAAAAACATATTTTATTCTACATTTAGATTTGGGGAGAACAAAAATACAAGTCATTGGGTAATTAAAAAAATATTTAATTAAAAAATAAGCTATGACTGTTAACAACCAATAATAAGAATTAAGAAAACAATCAATTTATTAAAAAAAAATATTTTTGTGATGGTTAATCGTTTTGAGAATCTGGAGTTTGAGTTATCAAATGTTTTGCATCACGTTTACGCACAATAACAAAAAAAGCATAGGTCTGTCAAGATTCAAGGAAAAGTGTCGTTATCATGTGAAATACTTGTTGATGCAATAAAACCTTTTCAAATCAAACGTTGTATTTTGAATTTTTAAACTGGTACCATTCACTACTTTGACTTATTAAAGCTTCCTCCAAATCTTGCAACGGCACTTTTTACAGTTGACTTAACTTGTTGCTGCTGCTGTTGTTATTGTTGCCTGTGTTTTTTTATATTTGTATTTGAACTTATTGGATGTGAAACATTTGTTGGTAAACTGCGGCATGTGATTAAGCCAATTGCAATTTTTTTCTCACTTTTTCTTGAAATTCTTTTTGAATAGCCAGAGTTATGTTCAAGTGGCGGCTCTGAGCGATGAAAAAATGCTAACGGATGTGATGCCGTTAAATTATGACAACGCCAGTAAATAAAAACTTGTACCAATCATTCACTTTTGTAATGATTGGTCTTTTTTCTTTGCGTTAAATTTTTTTAAAAGCATATATGACATTTTTTTTTTTTTTGCAATATGAATTTATTCATAACATAAAACATATGTAAATACAAATAGCAGGGGCAAGAAGAAGACTATTGTCTTATCGCCAAGCCCCTTAATCTATACCGTAATACACAATAATAAAATATAAAAATCGTTAAACTGCAGCACTACAGCATATAAAATATTGTCGTACAGGCTTTTTATATTTATAAGAAACAAACAACAAACAAACAAAAAGATGAAATTTATAGGTTCTGAATGGCCCTCGCTAACTTTAAAAATCTACTTTTTTTCTTATTTAAATATTGCAAACAGACGAAAATTAAATACCGAAGTAAAAACAAATACTATATTATAGCAAAAAATTATATACTTAAAAAGCCTGAAACTTTCCTTGTAAACCAGTATACACCTTTACATATACATCAGAAGAAACCATGCACTACGTTGCTCGTCAACAGTCTTTGCTTCAATTTGGTCTTAAACTCATTAAGCGTTGGAATTGTTTTAAGATCATTAGTTAATATTTTATTCCTTACTTTTGGTCCTCTAGTAGATATTGAAAATTTAGTAGCTGCAAAATAATTTTTGGGCCGATGGTAGCTGTTATACGAATATCTGGTTAAGTATCTGTTCTGATTTATTTTGAATAGCGGGTTAAATATTTTAAGAGATAAATTTTTATTAATTTTAAACATAAATATAAAAAGATGTTAGATGTTTGTTTGGTAGATATTCATTATATGTAGCTTAATAAACAATTCTTGGAATGTGTAAAACGTCCCACATTGGATATGATTCTGATTGCATTTGTTTGTTAAAAAGGTTTTAATTAAATTTGTATTTGTACTGCACCAGGCAATGTTTGCATAATTTAGATGACAATGAATGAAAGAGAAATATAAAAATTTTAAGCAATATGGATTTAAAAAAGGTTTTGCTCTACAAATCAGACCGATGTTTTTAGAGATTTAACTTTGAAGATAATGTATGTGATCTCTCCACGTCACATTTTCATCAAGCAGAACACCGAGAAATACATTAATTGCAATTTTGTTTTAGTTTTCACTTGAGCCAGGTATTTTCAATTACATGATTCTGTCTTTGTTTGTGCATTTGTTAACTTTTTTCTCCGATTTACTTTCAAAAACTCAATCATTTTGAAAAATCGTCAAAGTATTCAGACCCGTAAGAACAAAAAGGGGCCATGAAATAGTTTTAATGACGTTTTTTGTTTTTTTTTAAGTCATTTTTTCAAAAGTATCTATTTGAAAAAATAATGGGGGGAGGGAGCAAATGTCCGCGGTATTAATAAAATTCTAGTTGAATAATCTTAAGTTGCCCGATTTTTGATTTTTGCCCGAGATTTGGTTGCCCGAGATTTTACTTTCGAGAAAATGTATGTGATCTTAACACGTCACATTTTCATCAAGCAGAACACCGAGAAATTTCAAAGTGATTTCTCTTTTTACGTCTTAATTGTCAATACAGAGTTTTGGAAGTTTTAAAAGAAAATTATCTCAATCATGAAAACGATGGAAGAAAGTATATTTCGTCTTGGTTATAAATAGTGATAATTTATTTGCACTGAACCAATCAGTAAGATTTATTAACTCTTTATTTACAGATTTGAACAGAATGTTTATATCATTATGCGCATAGAATAGGTTTGTATCTGCAAAAAATTTTTTCAAAAATTTTTTTTTAATAAAATGAAATAATCGACAGTGTCGAAAGCCTTACTGATATCAATAAATACATCTAATGTATATTTATTTTCATTAAATTAATTAAATATATTTTGAACAAGATGAATAATTGCCTGATCTGTAGAGTGACTCTTTTTAAATCCAAATTGCTTATTATAAAGAATATTGTTTGCAGCTAAAAAGTAATACAATCTTTTATAGATAATGTGCTCTAGTAATTTTGAAAAGCATGATAGTATGGAGATAGGTCTGTAGTAAGAGATATTAGCCTCGTCTCCTGATTTTAATACTGGCATTACTCTTGCAACTTTAAGTCTATCAGGAAAGATTCCTTGTTCTGAAGAGAAACTAAATATATGCAAAAGCGGGATTTTCAAATATAGCATTGATTTAATTACTACATTACTGCTTACATTGTCAACTCCGAAACCTTTATTTAGTTTAAGTAAGTATGCCGCCTCAAATAATTCAGCTTCTGTTAGTATAATATTATCCATTATATTATTATTATGGTTTAGGATCGTATCAAACCAGGTTTTACTTTTTTTTACATTTGATGCCAATCTTGGACCTGTGCTTACAAATGCATGGTTAAACGAATTAGCAATTATAGACTCGTTAGTAATTTCACAATCATTTATAATTAGCTTTTTCGGTAAACCATTAATATAAGTACTTTTTTTACCTATAAACTCTTTCATTATGCTTCAAGTTTTTTTTTATATCATTTTTGTTTTTTAGCTACTATATTATTGGCTACTATAATAAAACATTTTTGCGCGCTTTACAATCGTCACAAAAAGATGATTATAGTTTTTATAATTTGTTTCATTCTTATATGTTCTTTTTTTAACAAACTTTTGATATAAACGTTGCTTTTTTTTCCAAGCTTTAATGATGCCGGGTGTTATCCAGGGATTTTGTAATGTTTTTGTTTTAGTAAATTTAGTTATTATTGGGAATGCTTTATTGTAGAAGTTTTGAAATATACAATAAAAATTATCATAATCTTTATTAACATTTTTAGTATTTAAAACAGGTTCCCAGTTACTCATAGATAATAAACTAATGAAAACTTCAAGAGAGGCATCCTTAATAACTCGCTTTGTGGTTTTTACCTTATCGGAAAGTTGATTTATCGATTTTTGTGAAATTATAAAGACTGGAAAGTGGTCAGATATGTCAGTCATAAATATTCCAGTTTTTTTTTTTATATTTTTAAAATTATTAGTTAGAATTTGATCAATGGAGGTGGCACTTTTTTTAATTCTAGTTGGTTTATTTATTGTTGGAGAGAAGCCATTTTGAAATAAGAAATAAAATATTTTCTGACGTCTTTATTTTTGTTATATTCTAACAAATCTAAATTCAGATCGCCCGCAAGAAAAACGCATTTGCCACATTTTTCTTCGTTAATAGGGTAATAAGTAATAAGGCTTTTAATTTGTTTGATAAAACCTTTTTTATTACCAGAAGGTGGTCTATATATGACGTACTTTATATTATAATTAATTTGATAATTACAGACTTCAAATTTGAACAAAAAATTTTCTCCATTTAAAAAAGGTGAGAACAATTAATAAAACTCCGCCAACTTAACAGTTAGTATATTTTATATCCCCCCCCCCCCCACTCACACCGTAGTTCACCATTTCTGATTTTAACTTCATTTTCGAAAGTTTTCTGCCCATTTTTCAAAAATCAAAAAAAGTTTATTTTGCTAGCGAAAGTTTAACAGTTTATCAAACAATGCTTATACTGTCCTATTTTTAAAAAAATCTCAACAATACGAAAGCAAGTTTTACAAAAAAGTTTATTTAACCCATTAACATCCAACATCCTCAATTGAAGACGCTTTGTAAATTTTTTGCAGAATTTTTTTGTTTTCATATTTGATTCTAATAATAGAAATAAGGTTGCATAAATGGCTTGTTTTTATTTTGGACCTATAACTTTTTAGATATAATAATTATTTTTCGCACAGCACTATTTCAAACTTTTGTTATCTTTTAGTTTGTTACCTCCTTGAATATAAATCGTTGTACTGCTATTTTTAC